TCCCGTAAGGATTTATAGCCTCAGAAACCCTCCTGTACAGGGCCACTATGAGTCGGAACCAACTTTACGCCACGTAACCACCCCCACCAAATGCTCTAATCTTCAGAGACTGTAGTTGGTGTGAAAACCAGTATATTCAGTACTCTATTAGATTGCTGTTATGTGCCATCAAGTGGGTTCCAACTCATAGGACCCTATATAAGGTTTTCAAGGAGCAGCAGGGTGAATGTGAACTGTCAACATTACAATTCAAACAACTTTGGGTTGCAGTGCATTAACCCACAGCGCCAAACCAGGACTCCACAGTTCAGTGCTCTAGTATATACCTGTACTCTTAAAGGTATAGCTTCAGCCTTCCAGCTAAAGTCAGTTGCTCCTGTGACTCCTGCCCCCTTTGTTAGAGTTCCTATTGCATTGTGAATTTGCCTGAGGATGCAGCTGGAAAAGTCACACTTCCCTGTGATAAATCATATTAGAATTGGCACATTATTAGATCAGAGAAACAGAGAGAGCGCTCCTGTGGAGTTATTTTGACACAGTTTATCACTTAGTTCGTATCTTTTCAAGAAAGACCTATACAGGGAAGACAAAGGTCCTAACTGATTGAAGGGCCAAACCTGGGAATGTTCTGCTGGGAAATCCTCCTTCGTGTGCCATTGATACAGCATTGTCTCTGTTCCCACCCTGAAAATGTCTACAGCTGACAATGATCTTTCCCTTTTTCTCTGGCCAGGAGTCTTACATCGTTTCTGAAGAACTGGAAGGAAAATATGAAGCTATAGGCAAGAAGCTCTTGCACTTAGAAGATCAACTTCACATAGCGATCCATAGCCGTGATGAAGAACTCATCCATATCCTTTTTATCTTGCAGATTAAACACTTGCTAGGTTGTTATATTATAAAGTGGGTCTTCAAAAGCACCTGGGTTTTCCACACCTCTGCAGATGGATTAACCAAGAGGTGCAGCTGGTATCTCTACCACAGCACATCCCAGATCACTGAGATGATTCAGTATTCATGGTTTCCCCTCTGCTTTTCAGTAAGAAAGTCAATATTTGTTCTTATTAAACCTGACCACTAGAGATTAACAATCAAGTTCAGACATGCACACAGTAAAACCAAAACAAACACAGTTTTTCAACAGATTTAAAGTTGGGTTAAGTTGGCTGTGGATGACATAATCTGAATCAAAATATGTGATTGGCTTAATTTTATTGGGGCTTTCTCAAATCCAAGTAGTCAAAAATTCATCTTCATATATTGTATTGTGCAATTCTGACATCTAACAAGTAAGAGGGTATCAAAACTCACAGTATTCTGCACTATTCATTCTCCATTTCTAACTATGAGTTGGTTAAACACAATCTAGTCCTTTCCAATTCCTAACAATAAGATTTTCTTGCTCTAGGTTGAGTATCCTTGGTGTCTCATCGGCAAATGCCTTTATCAAAACTAGCTGCCAGTGAGAAAGCTGGAGTTAGAATGGATTGGTTAAAGTATGAATTCACACAAAGCACATAGTATTCCATTTTGATCTGAGGATACAATGTGTTTGTCACTGGTTAGATCTTTGAGGGTAAACGGATGGATATGCAGATAAATGAAAGGATATTTCAGCTTCATCCTGTGTCCATCTTTCTAGTTATTTAATCACAAGTTGACATTTCTCTAGCTAAAAACACTTCCCTGTTCATTCATTCTTTCTATTCAGTAGTACAGCTTTTATTAGATGTATTTGTGAGGCGGAAAAATGTAGCTATTTTGGTCTCTGCTTCTCATCGCTGCTGTAATTTATAGGATTGACATTCTTACCAGTCTTTATTGTGTGGGGGTGTGTGTTAGTATTTTTAAATGGTCGGGGATTAATCTCAGTCACAAGTATTCAGAGCCATGATTTAATGCTGGCTTCAACAATGTGTTTCCTTCCATATTTATGACCTTAAACCTTTGACTTTGCTTATTAATCATAGCAGGAAATGTCTACAACTTAATCAGTGATTTTTGTCACATTGCTCAAGGTAGATTTTTTTTTTTTTATCAAACCATTTCATTGAAGAGTTTCTATGGGGCCAAAGGGAAGAGACTAGTGAGGACCAGCTACCATAGTCTATCCGAGATCTTCTGGACCTTGTGGCCACCGGAAGCTCTCGAGACGGATTTTTAAAGATTGAATTTCTATTATAATTTCCTGCCTTTTGCAAAACTTGCACTTAAGCCATTATTAAAGAGTTACCCAAAAATGCAGTTGAAGAAGGATTAAATTTATGCCAAATTCATTGAGGTTACACAGATTTGAGTACTTCCGATGGGTCAAGGCCACCAGGAATGGACAAGTGACTGTGTGTCACTGGGCACATGGAAGTGAGGCAGTGCAGAATACCAGTGGACATAAATGAGGCCCTAGTCCCAACACAGAAGAGGGGATCGCCCCTCAGGGGTCTGTGTGTTAGGCTGGATGTGAGGCAGGTAGCAGCCTTGAGAACTATATTGGTCTCTTATTTTAAAGTGTTCTCGAAGGCTGGTTTGATTCTAGAGAATTGGGCTTCTCCCTAGTAGGACTGGGGAGGAAGGGAGCAGGCTGAGAGGGAACAAAGCAGTATTTAAACAAGATGCTTGCTTTTGGGTTTCCCCCAGTAGATCTCAGCCAGATCTAGTAGCCCAGGATCATTGGCAAGTTACAAAATGCCTTAAGCATTAGCTTCCTCATTTGCAACATCAGGATGATAGCACATTTCTCTAGGATTTTCATGCAGATTCTATGAAGCTATATTCATAAAGGATGGGCAGCATAATTCTGATATATAGTATTGCCCACAGCCCTGGTGTGGCGCTGTGGGTTCATGCGCGGGACTGCAAAGTCAATTTGAACCACAAGGTCAGTGGTTCAAGCTCACCAGCCCCTCCTCGGAAACCCTATACAGGGTCGCTATGAATCAGAACCGACTTGACAGCACTTAACAACAGAACGAGCAGTGCCTAGTTTGTGAGAGCTCTGATTCTTGGGTGGAAAATTGTTTCCTCTAAATCTGTTTGCCTTACCCCTTCTCAGGGGCTATGTGTCAGCTCATATCATAGCACATTTATCATTAAGAGATTTTCAATGCATTCAACTATTTCATACTAAATGTTTGAATCAATTAATAAGCACACAGTGACTTACATGAAAAAAATAAATCATTTAATTCTAATAAAAATGCTATGTTGTTGTTAAGTGCCATTGAGTCAGTTCCTACTAATAGTGACCTAGTGTAGGGTTTCCAGGAGTCCTGGTGTGGTGCTGTAGGATAAGCACTGAACTAGCCCCAAAGTTGGTGGTTCAAACCCACCAGCTGTTCCTTGGACACCCGTACAGGGTCGATATGAGTTGGAACCTACTCAACAGCAGCTAACAACCACAACATAGTGTTTCCAAGGGGCAGCTGGTAGATTTGAGCTGCCAACCTTTCCATTAGCAATCTGTTGCTGATCCTACAGCACCAAGACTCCAGTGGTGGTGGTGGTGGTGGTAGAGGTGATGGTTATGTGCTGTGGAGTTTGTTCCGACTCATAGTGACCCTGTACAGAGTTTCCGAGGCTGTACATCTTTACAGGAGCAGAAAGCCTCATTTTTCTCCCGCAGAACAGCTGGTAGTTTCAAACTGCTGACCTTGAGGTTAGCAACCTGATTCATAACCACTACGCTACTAGAGCTCCTTAGGACTCCAACAGTAGGGATGATTATCCTTAATTGACATCTGAGAAAACTGACAGAGATAGCTTGACCAGTCCAAGGGCATTTCCATTGACAGAATCGTCCAACCACAGCCCAGCGGTCTTCCTTGGTTCCTTTGAAGGGAGCTAAGTAAATGGATTTGTTTTATAGAACATAAAGCTCCTTTACAATTTTTAAGGTATAGTAAAACTATTGTATTGAAATTATTATTATTTGAGAATTTTGCTGATACTTGCTAAGTGGAGACACACTGGGAACTGTCAAACTAGGGTTGAGAAACACTTATTTACTACTAAAGTTAGCATCCTTTTCCCTTTAAAAACTTACCCTACAACATAGATTTCCACCCAGACCTTCCTCTGAAGTCCAGAGTTTGTTCTGTCTTAAGAGTAAATACACAGAAGGTATCCTTGAGCTTGTACATAATGGCACTTAGATTTGAATGGAACATGATGCGCGTAGATAGAAAGATGCATTTACTAGGTTCTGTGGAGGCACCCCTACATAAAGCAAAGCCTTTGTTTCACATTAGAATTTATCTAGAGATTCAGAGAGGCTGCCAAACTCTTCCGGCTTAATGCTGACTGGTTTGTGTTTCGATTTTTTATCAAAGATACAAAGCTGAGGGTGGTTGAAAGAAACAGCTTGCCTTCCACAATGCTAAAGACTTATACACAGAGTGTAATATTTTGTTTTATGCCATTAAGTGTTCTGCCAAAACCTACTGTGCATATGACACTGAGTGAACCCAATTAATATAAGTCCACGTTAGAAGATTCAAATGCTGGATGCTATTGGTTTTCATTCTTCCTGTGAAAGATATTGAGCTTTGCACAGGTCACGTATGTGAGTTGGCACTGTTAGTGCAGGGAGGCTGGGGTGTGGAGAGGCTACTGATTGACAGTGGGGTTGAGTTCCCAAACAAGTCCTCTTGGCATTCTAATTTAATATTAGCAATATGGCCAGTCTGCGGAGAGCTGTTTGCTCTTAACATTGAAGACACTGGATTGACAAATCTGAGGAGAGGAACAAACCAGTCATGTCCCTGCATCACCTTGACAGGTGCACTAAATTACATATTGTTGTTGTTGTGAAGTGCCGTCGAGTTGATTCTGACCCATAGCGACCCTGTATAGAGTTTCCAAGGAGCAGCTGGTGAGCTTGAACCACCTACCTGGCAGTTCAAACGGCTTTGCGATCTGAAGCATTAGCCCACAGGACCACACCAGTCTGCCTCCTCCAAGTGAGTGTTTGAACACAGTCAGTACCATGAATTGGGAACTGGCAGCAGAGTGGCGACTCAGCCTGGTGTCTGAGGACAGTAGGAATGAGACTTCCATGCACATAAGCCCCAGATTTTCAGGAGCATTCTTCTGAGCCTCTAATACAATTTCACAGTCATTTTGGTTCTTAATTAGCAGTTATGTTTTAATAGATACTTTAAATCTGTGTAATGATGCCTCCACACTCAAAACGCTTTGCCTGAAAACCGCCTAGATTAGGCGGATGCTTATATAGGAGTTTTTTCTTTTTTCTTTTTTTTCCTTCAGCTTCTGCAATATACCATCAAAGGGGGAGAAAATGTGCAGCTAGGACATTTTTGGCATGTTTCAATGCCCAGGAAAGCCCTCAAGGACAGTTCTGCTTGCCTCTGAGTAATAGGTAAGATGGCGCAGACCAATTCTATTTCTAGTTCTATTTGCATCTATGTCTGGAAAAGCCTGACGGAATTCCATTCTCCCTAATTATTTGGAATGTGTGGTGCCAGAGTGATTCGTTCTGGTGCTGCTTGATGCCAGGCCAGGACTCTAAGTACATCCAGCCTCATGCACAAGTCACACCCCTTTAAGAACCTAACAGAAAATACTTGCTGCTTCAACCTTTTCAATTTGCACCAAATATAAGTCCAAATGTGCATCTCATATTTCTTACTCAACAGCTATATTGGTCTGACTAATGTTGTTTGTTGTTGTTAAGTGCCATCAAGTCAACTCCGACCCATAGCTACCCTGTATAGGGTTTCCAAGGAGCAACTGGTGAGCTTGAACTGCCGACCTTGAAGTTCAAACGTCTTTGCAGTCTGGCATATTAACCCACAGTACCATACCTCTGTCTGACTGATAAGTTTCCCCAATTTAATATGTTCAAATCCAAATCTCCCCTCTTTCCCCCCAGGTTATTTATTCCCAATTTATCTCAATCTGAATAAGTTCATCTCTTTGATTAGTTTGTTACTCAGATCAGAAATCTGGGAGGCACCTTGATGTCTTTCCATTTTTCATATTCAGCATCCAACCTATCACCAGATGCTACTTTTAAAACACTTCCATTGCCATCATCCTGTCCAAACCATGATCTTCTCTTGCCTGAACTATTTCTAACAATCACCTCTAACTTGTCTCCACATGTTTTGCCCTCGTTTGCTTTCATGTATTCTCAATACACAGCCAGAGCCATTGTGTTACCTTTCCGCTCCAAAACTCTCCCTAACTTCGCGCTGACTCCGGGGCTCTTTGAGTTTAAGGATAGACTGTGGATGTGTCCTTGTGTGTTATTTTCTGTTCCACCTACCGGTGTTCAGTCCTTTTGAAAACATTCTTCCACAACTTCCTTTTTTCCCTTCAACTCCACATGTTAACCTGAACTCTTTCATATCTGTACTTCCAAATGTTTTGGAACTTGAATTTAGTAAGTAATTATACAGGTGGGTTAGCTAGAGAGAGGTATTTTGTAAATACAACTATGAATTAAGTTATTTGGACTAGAATTCAACTATAGACTCACTATGTGAGCTTTCCAGGATTTCTAGTGTCTGCACCTGCTTAGGAAAAGCCTAGGTCTTGTGTTTTTGTCTGTTTTGTTAATCAACAGTACTGTTTCTCCCAGGGCCTCACCAATGGCACCACACTCTCTCTTTTTTTTTTTTTTTTTAAGGTTTTTATTGTGGATTGAATGAAAGTTTTCAGGGCACATCATCAGTTTCACATTCAAACATTCATATACCTTGTTTCATTACATTGATTATAATCCCCTCCACATACCATCAGTTAACAGAGTTTCTCTATATCCTCTTTAGCTTTTTTGGGGGTGGGGAAACTTTGCCTTTTTGGAATTTACAGTCTCGGCTTTTAGGGAAGGTTTTTACATTTATCTGTGGGTATCCAGGGCTCATGTATGGAATTACTAACCAGCATAACTGAATAATCAGAAAAGGGACATTTTGCTATGTCTGCTAGATGGCTAAAGTCTGATCCTCAGAGCCTATGGTTTGGACGGTCAGCAACGCTTGGGCCCACGGGGACTTGAACGCCTGACCGGGTCTGCACGGTCTGCATCAGATTTCCCCTTATTTATTATTTGTTTAAGGGACGCTGCCTGTCTTAGGCGGTCAGTGTGAATTCCTCAGTCTTACCCGTCATAGCGTAGTGGTTACGAATCAGGCTGCGAACCTTAAGGTCAGCAGTTCGAAACTACCAGCTGCTCCACGGGAGAAAGATGAGGCTTTCTACTCCCGTAAAGATTTACACCCTCGGAAACCCTGTACAGGGTCGCTATGGGTCGGACCCGACTCAACGGCACTTAACAACAACAACAACAACACCCGTCATCGAAACTCATTGCAGCATGGCAATGGCTCTGTCTTAGGTTGCGCACCACACTCTCTTAAGGGGAAAAAAAAATTTTTTTTTAACCTTAACTCTGTGAAGATGGCATTAGATCTGTATTTTACAAGTGAAATAAATAAAGTGTTGATGATTTGCCCAGTTTTCTATAGATGGTAAATTGAAGTTTCAAATCTAGGTCTACATGCAGAAATTGTAGGTGAGGTTTGTTTTGCTATGTAAGAGTACATTTCTGTAAACTCATTTCTCTTGTCTCTTTCTCTTAACTTTTCAGTGTCTTCTGCCACTGCTAGACATTTTATGAGTTGTTGCTGTTATATATATTTTTAAGGGAAGCATCTCATTTTGTCTAGATTTGTCTCTAAAACCTTTGTAATAATTTAGCATAGTACAAATAGCAGCATGTAATCCCAGGTTGCACATCAAAGGTAATTAAACCTCAGGAGTTTGTCAGGATTCATAAACGGCTTAAGCTTTGTGCTTACTCTTTATAAATGTAGCATAACTTGGTTATTAAATTTCAGTATAGCATTTGGTCTGGGACCACTTATGGTTTTGCCTGTATAAAGTCATGTGTGTTCTCAGTAAAGATTAGACAAGCTGTCCAAAGAAATGGAGAAAAATGAAGCCTCTTAAAAAGTGAGAAAATGACCAATACTGGATCCTTTCCTCCTTTGCACCCCTAGCACACTCCAGTCCTCCAGGAGTCCAAGTGCAAAGAGTGAACTTTCTCACCAAATGGATGTAAATTACATCAATATTGATGTTTGGTGAAACTTACAGAGAATGAAGAGCTGCCCAAAGGCTTATTAGGGTTGTTCACTTTTTCTGCCTCATTTGCAAACTCCCATGATTCCTTGGCGTTCTTATTTTAAAAAGAAGAGTAGCTTTCTACAGACATAACCTTCAGGTGTCTTTTTCTTTTGACATGGCATTGACATCGTGCTTAAACAAAAGAACACTGTAGCTGGTGTAAAAGCAGTAAGTTTGCTGCAAGCTACTCTTCACATAGCCTTTGGAGTGTTCTCCATATTGATACAGCAGCATTCAAGTGATGGAATCTAGTGTGATCATTTACAATATGCCAGTGGTATCACGATATTTTCACTTTTCCTCTTGTTCCTGGGAGATGAGTTTGAATTAATTTCCTTGCTAAGTTAAAAGACTTCACTCTCTTATCCCATGCTTGTCTTGGAGTCATCCTAACTGCAGTTACAAAAGGCAAGGGAAACCTAACCTTTCTATGTATAGGCAGGAGAGCCACTGTTGATTATTTCCTCTGTTTAAAACCCAGAAAAGAACCTCTTTTTAAAAAAGAATGGCAGTCTTATTTATTCCAGATTGCTACTTGCAGAATTCTCTGTGATTGTTTTCTGTGTGTTAGAAACCACTTTACAGACTAAGATACAAACAAATTAAAAAACAAAACAATGACTTAAGTAAAAACAAACACAGAGATAATGCAAAGCTCCTTCTCATTTCCTTCCCCATCAAATCTCAAATCCCCTGGGCGTTATATACTAGGTGTGGTTGCTACGTACCACGGAGTCAGTTCCTACTCATAGCAACCCTGTACAGGGTTTCTAAGACTAGAAATCTTTTCAGGAGCAAAAAGCCTCATCTTTCTCCCACAGAGCAGCTGGTAATTTCAAACTGCTGTCTTACAGTTAGCAGCCTGACTCGCAACCCACTACACTACCAGAGCTGCTTCATATACTAGTGGTGGTGGTGGTTATGTGCCCTGGGGCCGGTTCCGACTCATAGTGACCCCGTACAGGGTTTACGAGGCTGTAAATCTTTATGAGAACAGAAAGCCTCATCTTTCTCCCATGGAACAGCTGGTAGTTTCCAACTGCTGACCTTGTGGTTCACAGCCCAATTTGTAATCACTACGCTACCAGAACGCCATCATATACTACTAGTACCAGGAATGTAATAATAGATCACATCAGGTTAGAGTCTAGAGGGGTTTGTTGTTGTTGTTGTTAGGTGCTGTCAAGTCAGTTCTGACCCATAATGACCCTGTGTAGGGTTTCCAAGGAGCAGCTGGTGAGCTTGAACCGCCAACCTTGCAGTTTAAATCGACTTTGCAGTCCAGCGCATTAACCCACAGTGCTACACCAGGACTCCTCATTTCATTAGAAAACAGAGGTCCACAGTGAGTTACACAATTTCAGGTCTGCTTAGTGGCTGAATAGGGATCAGAACTCATGAGTTTGAATACATCCATGTACCCTTCTGTACCAGTAGTACCAATATACAAATTGTGGCTTGATTCTCAAGGAAGTTCAGATTTCAAGCATCTTGCTCCTTTGACCTTAAAAAAAACCAAACAAACAGCTGCCCCAGGTTGGGACTATTCCGTGGAGTAATATCTTCCTTTGGCTGTCTATCAGCCTAAGAGTTGACTCTTCCTGTTCCTCTTTGCACCGTGACTTGAGAGAAATCACCTCAGACGTTGTGGAAATTACAACTGCTCGTAAAAGAAGCAATGTAAAATCTGTATTAATATTTCATTCCTATAATTTGAAGAACTTGAAATTGTAATTAGATGGCAGTGCCCACCTGCTTCCAGCAAGCCAGAGTGCTAGGAGCCTGCCTCCTGGTCACCTGGGAAGTTTTCCTTAATGACATGCACAGTGTCTCAGGAAGGAGCTGCAGATGGTGAAGGACACTCTACAGATCATGGTCCTGCAGCTTCAGCCAGCCAGGGAGGCTGGGGAAAAGGAGGTACCGCTTCCTTCATGACAGCTGGCCACTCTGAGCAGCCCCGAGGCTGCCCGTAGGCTGCTGGGAGGACACAGGAGGGAGAGTCCTCATCCTCAGAGCCCTTCTCAGCGCTCACTTCCTCTGATGTACCTGAATCAATGACGGGAGCCCTGGAGCCCTGAGGTCTCCCTACAGAGGTGCTGACCACGTTCCTTCCAGGAGGCTGAGGTGGGGGTGGTCTGCAAACTAAAATATGGAGGGGTACCTTACTAACTTTGCTTTTAACTGTCAGTCAGAGCTGGGGTCAATTCTGCTAGGAGAATCTCTTTTCCCAAACTATCTTGCATTCTGCTGCAGCTAAAATATTTTCTGATTTGAAATCCTATGAGGATGGAGCCTTAGTCTCTTCTTCCCCTGTAACTGTTACATTGTCCTGGAGACCCATGATTCAACAAATTAAACAAATAGACCAGTTGCCATCTCATTGACTCCACCTGGCCCACAAGGCTAGTGGCTCAAACTCACCAGTCGCTCCTCAGAAACCCTATACAGGGTCGCTGTGTGATTCAGAACCAACTCCACAGTGCTTAATAACAAAAACGTAATAGAACTGCTCCATAGGGTTTCAAGGCTGTGGCCTTTCAGATACAGTTCCCAGGCCTTCCTTCTCAGGTGGATGGTTCTGACCTCCAACCTTTTCGTTAGTAGTGGAAACTTAACCCTGTGCACCATCCAGGGACTCTAGAGGCACACCTTATCAATTCTGTCATCAAATCATCTCTGCCCCATAACAATTGTATAGGACAAGCAGAGTTGCTTAATAAGGTTTCTGAGGCTGTAAATCATTATGGAGATAAAGTGTCATGTTTCTCCTTTGATTAGCGACCCAATGCTTAACCCACGCCAACACCAGGGTTCCTATGAGGCACATGATATTGTTGTTAAGTACCATCGAGTCAGTTCTATTCATGGCAATGCTGTATTAGGTTTCCAAGGAGCAACTGATGGGTTTAAGCTGCCGACTGTGTGGTTGGTAGCCCAGTGCTGAGCCTACAGAGCCACACCAGGAGTGGCTCAAGAGAGGAGGCTCAAGAGAGGAGAACCGATGAACTCCAGAATCTGGAATTAGCTTTTCACCTTTCCTCTCCTGGGATTTACCACTCTCTGAAAAGAATTAATAAGAAAAAAAAATCCAAAGGCATGTCTTAAGGCAATAGCTTCTTCCTGGTGGCCTTTTGATTTTCCTTTTGTGGCAATGGTTGGCTCTACAGAGAGAAGCCCTGAGGCTGGTTGTTGATTCGCCTACAGTGTGGGTGAGGGAAGAACTTCTGGTGACACACTGGTTAAAATGACCCCTTGGTAACCAAGATATCAGCAGTTCAAGCCCACTAGCTGGTCCTCAGGAGAAGGAGGCGGCTTCTGTAAAGATTACAGCCTTGGAAGCTGTGAGTCAGCTCAGCCCTGTCCTATGGGGTTGCCAGGAGTCAGAATCTACTCCAACACCATGGATTGGGTTTGGATTGATCTATGGTGGACTGGAAGAGGGAGAGGAGTGGAGAGATTGGTTGGCACATGTATAGTACTAGCCCATTCCTATTTCCTCCTGAGTCAGTTATCACTGGAACCAGGCAGGAAATGTGCTTGCAGACAGTTCCTGAGTTCAGGGCCTTATTCTGTCCAGGTGGGGGAAGTGTTGCAGGCCTCTGCTGTACTGTGCCTTTGGTCCAGCCTGGGGCCCTCTTGACACAGCTGTAAAACAGGCAGCCCCTCCAAAAGTGCACTGTGGAAGATGACTCCCCCCCACCCCCCCTAGAGATGGTTCTCACACAGAGGGAGGTGAAGCTGGGAAAAACGACAGCCACGTGCACAATTTCAGCTGGGTGATCCACATACACATTAGCATATTAAAAGTTAATGCAGGAGCCTGTATTAAAGAAACTCATCTGATTTCGTCCTACCTGAAATTTCCAAATTTAATGGATCTTGTATTCTTTTTTTGCCCAAGTAACACCTATTACTATTCCATTGAATTAATGCCGAGCAACACTTCACCCTCTACGGAAACCATAGTGCAAACCCTGGCCTATATTAATACCTATGTGTAGGGAGTTCCTGGGTAGTACAAATCATCAACACACACAGTTCCTAATCAAAAAGTTCAAGTCCACCCAAAGACGCCTCAAGATTCTTGAGACATCAGCCATTGAAAATCTTGTGGCGCACAGGTCTACTCACACACGTAGGCTTGTCATGAGTCTGAATAGACTAAATAGCAACTTGTTTTTTGTTTTGTTGTTATTGTTTTAAAATATGTGTGCATAATAGCTACAGATCAAATGAAATGGTTTTTAGTGTTGTACTTAATAAATACTAGTCCCAGTTGGATAAGTATAATGAATTGTTCTTTGGGGGGCTTTTAGGCTCATTTGAGTGTCGGGAGCATGCTGGCTCCATACGATAAACACTCAACTATGAACCACAAGATAAATGGTTCGAGCCTGCCAGCTGATGAGGGGACGAAAGATGAGATTTTCTCTCCCTCAAAGAGAGTCAGAAACGACTCCAAGGCACTTAGCAACTAACAGTGAAAGTCTCATTGGAATTTCCAGGGTTAGTGATGTTTCTGCCATAGATCATTAGGATCTATGGACATGAGCACGTACATGCAGTTGGCTGAAGTCACGTTGTCAGCACGTTGCCAAACCTACCATCTGCAGTATATCTCGATTAGTCAAGAACCTGCAGTTCTTTTACTTTGTTCTGTGAGTCCACAGAACACAGGAAAATAAAAAGAACTTTAATTTGCTTGAGCTTTTTATAAATATACATTATTGTTCTTAGAATTTTGCTTTATTCAATGCTGGAACAAATTCCTGAATTATTCATTGTTGTTTGTTGTTACGTGCCGTCGAATAAGTTTGGACTCATAGCGACCCTGTATAGGGTTTCTGAGGAATGGCTGGTGAGCTTGAACTGCCGACCTTGCAGTTCAACTAACCTTATACTACAGTGCCACACTAGGACTCAGTTGTGCCTTAAGATATATATATATATATATATATATACACACACACATATACACATACTAATCACATAGCACTTGAAATCCTTGAATGAATTCTAGTGAAGCAAAATTTGGGAAGAGTCAGGACTGACCATATTGCTAATAATGAATTCTTATTTTGACATGTGTTGTTGTTGTTTTATGCCCTTGAGTCAGTTCCAATTCAAAATGATCCTGTACTGGATTTCTGAGAGTGGTTGTTGGGTTGTGAACTGTCAACCTTGTGGTTAGGAGTCTAGTGTTGAGACATATATCTTTTATAACAGTCACCACCAGCCCAAGACACCATCATGAAATAGTTCTGTGAAGAAATAATGTATGTGAAAATTGTGAAAGTTAATAACTGCTTTGAATGTGCCTCAAATTAGGTCCCCTGTGTACCTTCAGTAGAATGCTTGTTCGTTTAAATTTCCCTTCCTGAGAAGTCTGACTACATTTATGTATCAAGTCGGGCAAAAAGCCATTTCAGCCAAAAGCTGCCACATACCTCAGGCCTGTGATTAGGCTTAGAGTTCTTCTAGAAGCCTGTGAAAGGCAAAGGTGTTTCCTTTGGCTGCACAGCTTTTTGTGAGTAAGCCCTCTCTCTCTTTAGTTACTTTGAAACGAGAAGGTCCAGGACTATGTTTCCTAAGCCATCATCTTGTTGCTTATGCCTCCTAGCAACCTGTGTAAGTAAGGTTTCTGAGTAGCAAGCAGCTCTTGGGTTTGAACTGCTGCCCTCATGGGTCACAGTCCAGTGTTGATCCTACAGCATCACACCAGTATATACGGAAGTTTTTGTCAGGGCAAATGAAAAAGAGCCAAGAGATTTTCCTTTTAAAAGAAAACCAAAACACAAAACATAAAAACGTAACATTTTTATGGAGACAGCCAAGACCACAAACAAAAGTACAAACTGAAAATGATGATTTGCAGAGTTTGGCCTCACTGTGACAACCCCAAAACCTAGACCTAATTCACAGCCTGGACTGGGCACTCTGGGAAATGATCCCTGAGATCATTTAGATTTAGAATCATGGAAGTCCTGCTTAGAGCATAGAAAAAACATAAGCTTCTCATACCTCCAGGAAAGCCTCTGGTTCTGAGATCATGATGGCTAGGCTAACTGAACTTCAAAAACCTATCCACCCTACTACATTCCTAACCGAACAATTTCCCCCATACACCCACAAAAGTCATCCCAGGAACAATCATTTGTCACCTGATACTGGGCAGATTTTCTCCAACAATTCCTGTCCAATTCCTGTTTTTCTGAAAGTGTTCAAGTGCAACAAACTCTTCTCTGGAGCAGAGAAAGCCACAGTGCCCACACCTGTCAGTGCCTCCCTGTGTTTGCAAGGCAATGCTGTTGTTTTAACATCGGCATTATATCGTCTTTCATTTTATCTTTATCCAGTCATAAATTTCATAATATGTATTGCTTCATGAAGTTTATTTTTTTTTTGTTACATGAAACTATAACTGAATGTTCTTTTAACAATGCTTTGTCTTGTGGGGTATGGATGATATAAAACTTTATTACGCGTATTCATTTCTTCTCTGTTATAGGGTGATTAACAGTTACTTCCACTGCACAAAATCTTTTAATAAAGACTTTAAAACATTGCATCAGTGTTTGCTTTCAATATTAACAAATCTGAAAACTGGAATTTTCTTTGGCCGACTCTTTGGTTGGAGAAATTGAAAACAAGCTGGCATTACCACTAGAGCCTGGATCAAGTCCAGGGTACTCACTGAAGCCCCTAAGAGTATTTTACTATGCTGTTGTGAAGTGCCGTCGAGTTTGTTCTGACTCATAGCAAACCCTGTTTCCAAGGAGTATCTGTTGGGTTTGAACTACCAACCTTGTGGTCAGAGGTCCAGAATTTATCCTCTATCACAATATACTGGCTATTTCAGTAAGACAAGAAAAAGGACTGAGGGCTACCATTTGGGAAACAGAAGATAAAGCATTTGCATATAATGTTTTTGTAAG